AAAAGGAAAAAGAATGAAAAGAAAAAAAAAGAAAGATGCCGGGTGCAGTGGCTCACGCTGTAATCCCAGCATTTTGGGAGGCCAAACAGGGTGGATCACCTGAGGTCACAGGTTTAAGACCAGCCTGGCCAACATGGTGAAACCCTGTCTCTACTAAAAATACAAAAATTAGCTGGGTATAGTGGCAGGTGCCTATAATCCCAGCTACTTGGGGGGCTGAGGCAGGAGAATCGCTTGAACCTGGGAGGCGGAGGTTGCAGTGAGCCGAGATCACGCCACTGCACTCCGGCCTGGGCAACAGAAGCAAAATAATAATAATAATAATAAAAGATTATTTAATCATTACAGAGAGAGACTATGATGTACTAGGCATTGTTCTTGGTCTTCACCTGAATTGTCTGGTTTGCTTCCCATAAAAACTACTATTTTGTAGGCATTGTTGTTAACCCCATTTTATAGACAAGGAAACTCAGAAAGAAAGATGTTAAATTGTTCCTGAGTGTAAGCTCATAAGCACTATATCTCTCTCATCCTTGATTCATAAAAGACATCTTTGAAAGCTGTGAAAGGAAAATAAAGCCAGGCATGGTGGCTCACGCCTGTAATCCCAGCACTTTGGGAGGCTGAGGTGGGTGGATCACCTGAGGTCGGGAGTTCAAGACCAGCCTGACCAACATGGAGAAACCCTGTGTCTACTAAAAATACAAAATTAGCTGGGTGTGGTGGCGCATGCCTGCAATCCTGGGAGGCTGAGGCAGGAGAATTGCTTGAACCCAGGAGGTGGAGGTTGCGGTGAGTCAAGATTGCCCCATTGCACTCCAGCCTGGGCAACAAGAGCAAAACTCTGTCCCAAAAACATTAAAAAAAAGAAGAAGAAGAAAGAAAGAAGGAAAATAAAAACTTGGGACCCTGGCCGGGCGCGGTGGCTCAAGCCTGTAATCCCAGCACTTTGGGAGGCCGAGGCGGGTGGATCACAAGGTCAAGAGATCGAGACCATCCTGG